TATTCCTAGGTATCTTAATTTTTTTGGTGCGATGGTAAATGGGATTGCTTTTTTAGTTTCACTTTCTGTAAGTTCACTATTGGTGTAAAGAAATGTCATAGCTTTCTTGGTATTTTGTATCTTGTTACATAGCTGAATTCATTTATTAAGTCTAATAATTTTTTGATGGAGTCTTTAGGGGTATTTTATGTACAAATAATGACAGTTTTATGTCTTCTTTTCCAATTTGGATATCTCTTATTTCTTCTTCTTGTCTAATTGCTATGGCTAGCACTTCTAGTACTATGTTGAACAGGAGTGGTGAAAGTGGGCATGCCTGTCTCATTCCTGTTCTTAGGTAAAATGGTTTTAGTTTTTGCCCATTGAGTATGATGTTGGCTGTAGTTTTTTCATATAAGGCTTTTATTATGATGAGGTGTGATCCCTTTATTCCCACTTTGCTGAAGGTTTTTATCAAGAAAGGGTGTTGGATTTTCTCACATGCTTTTTCTGCATTGTAGTTGATTTCTAATATTATACCATTGTGGGCTGAGAAGATGCTTGATATGATTTTAATATTCTTGAATTTGGAGAGATTTTGCCTGTGACTTAATATGTGGTCTATCTCTGAAAATGTTCCATGTGCACTTGAGAAGAATATATATTCTGTAGCTTTGGGGTTAAATGTTCTGAAGATGTCAGTTAAGTCCATCTGACCTAGTGAATCATTTAGGATTGTTGTTTTTTTGCTGAATTTTTGCTAGAGCACTGATCACCAATCTTTCGGACCTCACAGACCACCCGTGATCCGTGGACTACCAGTTGGCAACTGCTGGTCTAGAGGATTTATCCAGTGATGTCAGTAGGTATTAAAGTCCCCTACTATGATCATATTGCTGTTGACCTCTCCCTTGGTACCTTCTAGAAGTGTGGTTTTTTATGTATTTGGGTGCTCCTGCATTGGGTGCATATCTGTTTATCAGGGTTATATCATCTTGTAGTATTGATCCCCTTAGTATTATGAAGTGGCCTTCCTTCATTTTTTATTCATTCAGCCACTCTATGTCTTTTGGTTGGAGCATTTAGTCCGTTTACGTTTAAAGTTATTATTGAAAGATACTTTTTTGTAGCCATTTCTTTTTGTGTATGGCTGTTTTTTTTATGCCCTTTTTATTTCTTTTTTTACACCAGTCCCTTTAGCATTTCTTACATTGCTGGCTTGGTGGTGATAAACTCCCTTACCCTTTTTTGTCTGTGAAGCTCCTTATTTCCCCTTCAATTCTGAATGATAGCCTTGCTGGATAGGTATTCTTGGATTCAGTCCCTTGTTTTGCATCATTTGGGCCTTCTCAGCCTTCATAACCATGAGATCCATCTGCTACATATACACATAGTTGAGGTGAGAACTCAAAAACAAGAACTCCAAAAAAAAGAACCCCCAGAAAACAATAACTTCACTCCAGGAAGACAAATAACCCAATTAAAAAATGAGCAAAGAGGTGTTTTATTTTTCTGGAAGAAAGAGAATTCAGAATAAGGGTCATACGGTTCATAAACCAGATGAGAAAATCAACCTATGTAAGAATCAGGAGGAAATAAAGAGTGATATAGATACAATAAAAAAAACCCACTATGGAAGCTTTCAACAGTAGACTAGGAGAAGCAGAGGACTGAATTAACGAATTAGAAGACAGGGGAACAAAACACACCCAATCTGAACTGCAATTGGAGAAAAAAATCAAAAGACAGGAGGAGAGCCTGAGGGAGCTTTGGGACAACATGAATCGAAGCAACATACGTATAATAGGGGTGCCAGAAGGACAAGAAGAAGAGCAAGGGCTAGAAAACATATTCAAAGAAACAATGTCAGAAAACTTCCCTGATTTGAGAACAGCATTATTTAAATAAACAGAAGTAGATGCAAGATCCCACTGTGAGGGGCAAAGAATCTCCCCCTCCATTTGTCTATCATAGAAGGCCCACAGTTTTGTCATTGACTGAGTGTAGCTGTAACTTATTGTTAGGAAAAGTTTATCTCACAGATAAGCACACTGCCATTCCTAAAGACCTGAAATTTGACTATATTGTAGATTTGAGCCAAACTACAAAAGAAAACTAGCCTGATAGGTCCTAAGCATTTAGTGTAATTCCTTTTCTGCCAAGAAGGCTTATGGCTTTCATTATTACTCATTTGATCATTGTGGGGTCCATCTGCATTTTAAATGAATCATTATCTCATCATTCTGTCCTTTTCTAACCAGGCACCTGGAGCTGCTACTAGCTCTTGGTGCCTGAGGGGGGAAATCCTTTCCTTAGTCTAATACACCATCTTCTTCCTCTCCTACCAGCAAACATCCCTCTTTGGTCACTCAGTAAACAATTTCCACTGTTAATGTGATACATGAAGGAGCCATTCAGGAAGTCCTTACACAGACATCTCATTGATGATTTTCAGCTCACCTCAAAGCCAGCAGAAAACTTCTTCTTCTTCTTTCCTTTCTTTGTTTTCAACTCCAAGTGACCTAGTTTATTTCACAGTTCACCTCCAAAAGAGGCATGAGGGAGTTTGGAATATGCTCAGCAAGTGGACAAGTGGACAAGTGGACACAAACAGAACAACAACAGTAAGCACAAAGTTGCAAGGTCTGTATTTTTTCTTACTTTCTTCTGAGTTGACATGACTGGCCAGTTTCCAAGCAGAAAAAGCCACACATTATTTCATTATTTATCCTTAACATGACTAAAACAAGAAGACATTTATTCCAACTTTTGCAGCTTATTTCCCCC